CCCCCACCCCACCCGGCCGCACTGCTTGTCACTCGGGGCTGGGTGTGACGGAGCCGGAGCGCGTTTCCAGGGTCAACTTCAGAGAGATGCCTGTGTGTCGTGCGCCACGTCGTTACCGAGACACGGCCTGCTGCTTGCTCAGTGATGAGTGAGGACACACGGCAAATTCCTCTGCACTTAGTGCCAGGGAGGCCCAACGACCCTCTGCCCCAAGCCCTGGAATCAGACAGAGCCGGCCGCGCCGCCCTCCAGCCTGTTTCTCTTTTCGCCTAGGTTGCCAGGAAGCTCACCTGCATGGTGACCCTGACCTGAGGCTTCTGGCACCATTAGATGCCCAGTGCCACGTGGGCCACGTCGTCTTGTCTCATTAATAATCACCAGGGCTGGCATTTGGGGGGTGGGGGAGCCAGGCACCGTGCTGAACACGTGACATCTACCCTCTCGCCTCCCCTAGAACCACGGCACCAGGCAGGGCCTCCGCGTCCCACTGTACAGACCAGCAAACCGAGTCCTGGGAAGGTGAATAACTCCATCGAGTCCAACCTCACAGCGAAGCAGCTAAGTCGCTGGGTATTCACTGCTCACGGTCTCCTCGCCTAGAAGGCGGGACCTGGAGGACAGGACGCCTTCGTGTCCCTGTGGCCTGGCCCAGGACAAGGAGACACCGATAATTCAGTGGTCAATGAGGTGACGGTGAACCCAGGACTCAGACAAAGGTCTGTAACGCCAAAGCCCATGTTCTAACTCCTGTCCTTTTCGTCTTTAGGGCTTGGAGACCCTAACCCTCACCTTCACCTTAACCGCAAAGGCACCCCTAACACTAGATCTAAGTCTATTTCTCGCACAATCGCGATGAATTAATTTAATAACCAGCCACCGCTCCCTGCCCGGCCTGGGCCTCAGTTCTGTGGGCCCGGTGCTCTGGCCACAAAGCCTCGGGGGCAGACACAGGGCCCCAGCGCAGATGGTGGAGCACGTGGGGTCTGCAGGAGGGAGAGGTCAGCGGGACAGGGTCACGTTTCCCCTCCTGGGACAGCCGGGCAGACCCGGGCAGGACGGGCCTGGGC